ATAATAATAATAATAATAATAATAATAATAATAATAATAATAATAATCACCATCATCACCATCACAATAATCACAATAATCACAATAATCACAATAACAATTATTATTATTATTATTATTATTATTATTATTATTATTATTATTATTTGGGGGGGCACCTGCCTTGGCTTTTTAATGCTTAAACCGAACCTCAGGGGCCTTTTGACGGACACGTTTATTCTCCCACCTGGAGTAATTCGCAAGCATTTTGGGTTTTCCTTCCCTAAATGGTTGGGTGTCTCCACCAAGACCGCAGATGAGAGAAACCACATCTGCGCTGTACCCTAAAAAAACGAGTCACCCGGATTCTTTGGCAGATGTGACCTCTACTCTTAATCATAGAGTCCGTCCTATTGAGGGTTTTCCAACTGGGTCAGCTTTTAAGGGGGGGGGTGCACTGCGACTCCCAGAATTCCCTAGTCGCCACAATCCCCCCCCCCCCCCCCAACTGCTACTGTTGAGCCAAGCGCAATCCATTCTGTACCTGGTTTTTCCTGCCTGTGGTCCTCGAGTTACAACAGTTTGTTTAGTGATCGCTCAAAGTGACGACGATACTGGGAAAAAAAAAACCCTGACGTGCGGCCATTTTTTCACACCGATGACCTCTGCAAGTGTTCTGACCCAAGCCTCGTTCAGATCAAACAGACACAAAGTATGCATAAAAGCAAACCTTTTTAATGCGTCTCTGTGAATTCTGCTCATTCACAGCAAAGAGTCATTAAAACTAATTGTCCCAGATAAGAGCAGGTTGTGAAAGGCTGCCAAGAACACAAGATTAAATTACCAGGAAATATCCAAAACCAAAACTCTCCCAAAACAAACCAGAATAGACAGGATTTCCACAAGACTTGAAGGGCTGGAAACTTCTTTGCTTCCTGCAAAGAATCCCACCTCTGAGGGCTGGCTTTTGTCCCTTAAGGGAGGGGCCACCACCTTGCAGCCTTACTCCCGAGTCGCCCGTGCTGCTGCAGCTGCTGTTTCCTTCAAGCAGCCCTGCTGGGCACAGGCTCCTCGGGGGACTCTTTGTTAGGAATAACAAGGTTACCGAACGTAGTTTGGGTAAAATAATATATATAAACGATGATAGTAAGTTTAAGTGTGTGTCACTTTAAACTGCAAAGCATGTAATTTGGGGTGCGGTTGTGAAACCGCCATAAGAGGGAGCAAGAGAACCTGCTGGATTGCTGTCGATTGCTGGTTTGATGGATTGATGGTTTGCTAACTGCGTGTTCCCTGCTGCTGAGTTGCTGAACGTCGAAGGAAGAAAGGAGGTTTGACTTCTTCATATCTCTACTGCGAGGAGATATATTACCGGACTGATATTTGTAAGTTTACTGACCTCTTTTTCGACACTGGACTTTGCAACTGAATAATCCCCGGACGGACTGAACTAGTGAATGATATATGGACTGTTTGACTATGCTAAAACTCTTGCTGGAATAAACTATTTAACTAGCACAGTGTATCTGTTTTACTGAGTGTAAGCTACAAAAACGTCTATCTCACATATTTTGCCTGCCTGCCTGACTGCCGTGCAGATTCTGCTAGGGTGGATCCCTAACACTCTTCCTCCCTGCTGCCAGCCTCCACAACCACCAAAGGCCGCACCCCGCTCTCTGAGGGTCCCGGCCCCATCCCGGCATCCCACACAGGGGCCCTCATCCGAGTCCTCGCTCTCCGAGACCTCAACCGTCCCCACCTACTGCCAGCGAACCACACCAGCAAGCATCCCCACGATCGTATGATCAAACTTCAGGCATTTGGCAACTGACTCATATTTATGACGGTGGGCAGTGTCTCCCAGGGTCACGTTGATCCCCTTTTATGACCGTCTGACAAAGCCGCATCCATGGGGAAACTGGATCCACTCAACAACTTAAACCTGAGCCGGCCGTGTGCTGCTGCAGCCAATGCAGAGCCAAGGCAATCCTAGGCTTCTGGCCCAACACAGGGAGAGCACGAACGTCAGGCGAAGCGTTGATGCCGCTTTAGAAGGCCTTGGTAATAAGGCCACACCTGGAATATTTGCATCCAGTTTGGGGTTGCCACGATGTTAAAAAAAAGAGGTGGAGACCCTGGAAAGAGCGCAGAGAAGAGCAACCGAGATGATTAGGGGGCTGGAGAGTAAAACATACGATGAACGGTTGCAGGAACTGGGTTTGGCTAGCTAGTCTGGTGAAAAGAAGGACGAGTGGGGAGACAGGATATCAGCCTTCCCGTATTTGAGGGGCTGCCCCAAAGAAGATGAGGGGGTCAAGCTCTTCTCCAAAGCACCAAAGAAGGCAGGACGAGGAGCAAAGGGTGGAAACTCATCCAGGAGAGAAGCAACCTGGAACTAAGGAGGAATTTCCTGACTGGGAGGACAATCCACCCGTGGAACAGACGTTGCCTCCAACACTGGAGGCTTCTAAGAAGAGACCGGGCAACTGTTTTGTCTGAAATTGCATAGGGTTTCCTGCTTAAGCAGGAGGCTGGACTAGAAGACCTTGAAAGTCCCTTCCAACTCTGTTATTCTGCTATCCCCTTCAATCTAGACCCCTAGCCCTTAGGTTTCGAGGATCTTGGACAAGATGCCAAGATGTCCCTTCCAACTCTGTTTTGTATTAAGGTATGAAGGGACCTCCACGTTCTCGGTGATCCTGTCGTTTACCTGTCCCGGCAGGCAACCTACCTCATCCTGAGCCACTTGCGCCGCCCTCCGGTCCACCTGGCTGGCCTAAACAAGCAAAGACAAAAAAAAGGGAACATTTAAAAACCGAGAAGATCGAGAAACTGTTTCCTGCAGACCTCCAAAATGTGCCTCAACTCTTCCCCACAAGCCTTGAAAAAATAAAACAACCCACCTCCCCAGATGAGGTGCTTCAAACACCACTTCCTCCGCTTTTGGCTCCCCCCAACCCAAAATCCCCCCACCCCCTTGGTGTCCAACCTCCAAAAAATTCTGCTTTGGGACTACACCACCCCTTCCCCAGCCTTCCTTCCAGTCTAGGCACCGGGGTTCAGGCCCTCACGCTTGACTTAGGATAGAGAAGAAGCTGTAGTAAATTTCCTAGGAGTTGTACGCAGGGGTTAGCAGGCGGTTTCGAGACTTCGTCCTCGTTTTCCTGGCGTTTGTTTCCTCTGTTGCTTTACCTGTTCAGTATTTTGTTCTCCATAGGGTAGGTAGCTGGCAGGTTAATAATTGGCAAGTAGAATTAGAAGTTTAAAAATTTGCTTTGGGGCCCGTTTTGCAAGGAGCGTGAAACTAAAACGG